CTTAGCATCTCGGATTTTAATGACAGAATCACGAATAAATAAGGATAGAATTAGTTTGGATTAAAGCCACACAATGCGTATCCAAACGCTAACTTCTCCAGTACTAGACTAGCAAATACTTCGTGTCATGCATAATCACACTACCTTATGACAAAATAAACTCTAGTTGCTCCCATTTCACTGCGCGTTTGCTTAAAACACACAAGAAAGAGGTGAGAAAACTGCCATTCTGGCGCAAATGCCGACTGTTTGCCAAACAATATAGCCTTGAAGTGGTGACGTGACTTCACATGTTTTTATCTTTGCTACACCCGTACCGCTGTACCGCAGCACCGCTGTACCGCAGCACCGCTGTACCGCAGCACCGCTGCACGGTTGCTTGGGGATTGGGGAAACTGTCAACAACATCGGAGAATTTGAACAACATTGGAGGTATTTTCAAATACCTTTTATAAGACAACGCGCAGTGAAATGGGAGGAACTAGAGTTTATTTTTTTTCATAAGGTAGTGTGATTATGCATGCCACGAAGTATTTGCTAGTCTAGTACTGGAGAAATTAGCGTTTGGGTGCGCATTGTGAGCCTTTAAAAAACCAACTCTACATAATGACAACCTATACAAGATGGATACTTTTGAGTATTACTTCGTTTTCCTCGAGTAGTACTTACAGAGTGAAACCACCTCTATAGCACAGAAATCTGGCATTTCTTGGATTATTTTCCAAGCATTTCCCACAAGTAAAATCTCATCCCTTGCACTTTGCCTTTTAACTGAAATGCCACTAACAGCTATTTTTACACGAGGACTTACTGGCTGCTGCATTATTCATAATGAGAATTCATGCAAATTGCTGTAGAATATTGTATATGCGTTGATGCACACTGACATCACCCACCTTGTAGTTGTTGTAGGCCCCTCTCATCACTTCATACAGGTTCATATAGCTTGGTAGATTGAAGAAGGAACCCAGTAACACTTTCTCCTTTTTCTCCTTCTCCTCTTTCTTCTCTTTTGTGGCATCTGCCTTGTCAGGTGTTCCTGATTTAGCAACACATTTTTCATGTTATAAAGCTCAAGCTGTAACTCCTGCATCCTGCATGCTCTAAAGCCATCCCCTCATGTGTGTCTGTGACTCCAGCAGCCCGTAAGTGCGTGCTCATTACTAGCAGCATGACGAAATTTCAGTCGGATAGAATAGTGTTCATTCGGCACCTAGAAGAACTGATGACTTCAAAATGTGCAATGGCTTTACCCTTAAATAACAGATAAACGAAGCAACAAAAGCTTTGCTGGCAAAAACTGATAAGTCCCTTTTAATAAAAACAGTATTGTACCAAAAGCAAACATATGTTGTGCCACCCTTGTGGATTATGCTGGCGTTTGCTTAGATAGCTTTTTTTTAAATTTTAGGCAACTTTCAGTATTTTAATGTTGTACAATTTAGAAGTGATATATCTCTGCTAATAATTCTACACAATTCTCAATGTTTTGCAGAATATAACAATTACTTTGTTAGATGTGGTTAGATTGCTACATGACTAATACTATAATGAATAGCTTACTATCACAACAATAAGCTTACTAGATTCACACATGAAACACGACCATACCATCCGTTGTTGTCTTGCTGGAGGAAAGTACAGCTGCCTCTTTGCCTTCCTTCTTCTCCTCCTTCTTAACAGATTTCCTCTTAATGGGGCTCAGTGACGGAGCATTCGGCAGGGAGGGTAGGACGGGCTTGCTTTGCGGTGGGCCGGGTTGAATGCCCTCAATCACATGTGTACAGATATTCAGCAATCTGAATATACACAGGCATCAAAGTTGTTAACGTCTCTCCCCGCATTCTCTCAGTTAATAGATTCAGTTACAAGGGTGTTTTATATGGACTGGTATACCTAGGTGTAAAAGCAATAAGGAGATGAGAAATTTGTATACTAGTTGGCATTTTTATACAAAACTGAAGCAATCGTAATTAAGCAAATATAACAATACAAAATAAAACCAAATAAAGTTTTTTCAAGTAATTTTTTCAGTTCTAATTTTTTTCGGTACGTGAATCAAATCAAAGTACATCAATCCCTGTGCTTATTATAATTGTTGGTATCACCTGACCTACCCCACATTGTTATGTATAGTTACTCAACTAGTACGGGCTATTCATCACTTTGGACCCAGCAAATTTTCTCCAAAACTTACTTCTCACAAATTGTGTCGATAAGCTAATGTAATACGATTATGAACAGCTGTAAAACCTGGCAAGATGCAGCAGTAGGTTGTCAGCTAGTGCGCCCACGGCTTGATCGTCTAGCATCGACCAGCTCTGACCTTCAGTTCTCTCCTCCTCTGGTCTCAACGCCTTGTACGCTGCACCTGTGCAAACAGATGTTCACTTGTTATCAGTGCCAATCACAACCAGCAACACAACTCCATAGATGTGCAGAGACAGTGAGAGATGAGATTAAGTGTGATGAGTAGACGTGAGAAGGGAGAGATGGATAAGTGGAGAGATGAATTCAATTCAGTGGAGAAATCTGTGTCAGAGTAACACAATTGCAGGCCCACAAACTGATCTCCACGAGTAAAAGCAAATAGAGGAGCTCGATCAATCAACATGCACTAATGTGTATGTGACAACAGTGTAATCTATGTAGATCCCACCATGGCCACCATTTCTGTGCGTTCTTCGTGGCAAATTTATAATTCGGCTTTCAGAAATCCATCCTAATCGTAAGCAATTTTTTCTATCAATAAAGCGTATCATAGCTGCATAGGATATTGTACATCAAACAAAGGACACGATCTAGCAAATTACTAGGGGTGAGAAAAATACATGCAGTCTCACAGTCACAGGTGCAAGGTTGCTTTAACTGTGATTGGAAAGCTTGGAGGTGCGACACGAACCAGCAAAGATGTTTCCGGCGAGAAGCAGGGCGTGTTTGTGCGCAGTGAGGTTGAGCATGGCGGACGTCGATGCCAGCACGTTGAGGATGAGAGCGAGGGAACCTCCGCTCGACCCCATGCTCGGATCCTGCAGGTTCAACTTCATCCATTTGTCACGGTCCGTCAGACTGAGGCGAGAGAGGAAACACGGCGTGAAATTAGCACCGGCCCACCGGCATATGCCGGCTAATTATTTGGAGGGCCGGTTACATTGGCAAAACACCGGCCCTCCGAGCCGGTGGTTTCAGCCGTTTTAGCGAGTACCTACATTTTTATTTATAGCATTAATGAGCAAGTAGCCTACATTACTGTTTTACCTGAAGTATCACACCATAATTTGTCAACGTTTTACAAATTTAAAATAGAGAATGCAAGCGTAAAACATGACATTGATTTTACGAACAAAATTTGTGAAGGCTGGTAAATTATGGCGAGGGCTAAGTAAATGCTGTTACCAGCCCTTCTGGCTGGTGAAAAAAAATCTGAATTTCGTGCCCTGGGAAATGCAAAATAACCTTCAAACGAGTGACCGCCCTGTGCCTATGGCTTTATCATGTCAAATATCTCAAGAACTTAAGCCAAAATTGATACTAACATAAGCATCAAGACAAATTGTTAAGCCATTTGCAGAAGTAAATCGTAAATACTGACCTTCTGCGGCCACCAAGTGCAGGGTTGACCTTAGTAGTTGGGGTCAACTCACTGTGAGATGGAACCAATGGCAGTGTAGCACACGTCCAAGCAGACGGGAACTTTGGCACGGAATATTCTTCCGATAACAAGCATAGCACGTGCAAGCAGCCCAGCTGTACGGAGAAGAAGATATCGTTTTCCAATGACGGACTTACCGTGACCGTACAGAAAAACAGCTAATTGTTGCCTAAACTAATGGCTTTCAATTGTAATATAAACATGCCTAAAACTTACTTATTCTTGGCTCTAAATTACTTGCAACAAGTATATGTAGAGTTAGCAAGTGTCAATAAAGTTAAAAAGTGGAGCAACAATATACAATATCAACAATATAAATATAAACAATTTAGCTATGGAAAGCAGTATTTGCCACACACTAGCTTAGCTACATACAGTGAGGTGATTAGATGTGGACTGAATCAACTTCTGCATCAAAGCCTGGATAACTCTAGATAATGCAGACTCCAGCCCTGTACTATATGCCGCTCCAGCTACTTGGCTGTATGCTCGCACCAAGCCATGCACTGTTGGCTGAAATACAAATAAATTGCTCACTTTCACAGAAATATTTTAACAAACGATTTCTAAAAAGGAATATTGAGTTTGAATCTAGATCCCGATTGCTTAATTACCATTATTTTATTTTATAATACCCAATTAAGCACCATCATATGATGATAACATGATAACATGGCAATGCCATATGTATGTCACTAGAACTTGGGATTGGTTCACTCAGATACATACAGACATAATTAATGTACTATGATGAATATATCAAGCACTCAGTAATAACAATTATATTATGAATAATTACAAGAGCAATGAAAACAATAGCAAAAAGCAACAAAATCAACGACAACAACAACAAACAACAACAACCTGCGATATCTGCTCATCGGTGAGAACTGGATCCAGAAACTTGCATGTAAGATCACGAGCCTTCGTCACAACTGGATCTTGCTGTGGCGAATCCATCTCAAAGAACAGATTAGGCACAATCCTGCAAGATGTGCATAACAGCTCATCAATAATATCAATACTAATTGATTAATATCTTAATTAATTACCTTAATTTATTAATATATTAATCAACAATCAATCTCATTACCACAATTCTTCTCTACTTCCCCTAATCACGTTGTCATAAACATTGACTGCAACATTTAGTCACGATTTTTTGACATATCACACATTTACTAATGAGTTGCTGAAGTTGTTTGGTGTTCTCAATACCACTATCAGTATCAACGTTACCCGAACAGCACGGCAAAGAACACATGTTCAGATGATAATCATGAGAACAAAGAAAAAAATTCCTGTATGAAATCAAGCACCATAATAATATAAATGACTTGAAATTATGAGACGAGAAGCAATGTGTCTTACTTGACGATGGTAGTTGCAGCAGCTTGTCTCACCCTCATGTCCTCATCACCAATGAGTAAAAGCAACACGTGGTGTAGCACTCTATCCTGGAAGGGGACCTAAAATGGAAACACCTTACAAAAACACGACTAACAGGAGAAATATCTGAGAATCTCAGAAGTAGTTGCTGAAGATCGCTATATATATATATATATGCTTTTGACAAGTTAAAATGCTTCCAAGAATTAATTTTTATCTATTATGTAGATAGATAAAATACACCACCTGCTTGTGAAGTGTGAATTGCTGTTTAGAAGTCTCCAGGTAACTCAGAACCTTGTAATCCAGGTCACCCAACACATCAGCTAATTCTACCTATAAACATAAGTTTTGAAAACACAATATACCAAATTCACACAGCTATTGAGAATATTTTGAAATACCAAAGGTTAAAAATTAAACCTATAAATTGCATCAATTTAAAAAAACGCAATGCAGAAATAGCAGATACGATACAAATATATTCTCTGCTACAGCCAAAGTGCAGCAAGCATATGGTTTAGATTTAGACAGTAAGTTACAGGTCATTTCAAATTCATAGCTTTCAGATGCGCGATGCCATTAAAGTTGCTTAACCTCGCAGCTAAATGCATATATAGACCTACTGTGAGCTCCGTCTATGTTGGCATAAAATTACTAGAACTCATTTGTATTGCTACTGTAAGTGTCCGTTGACTATCTTGCGTTAAATCGGGGATTATACACCTCTGTGCGGAATTTACCGCAGGAGAAGAGAGTTGAAACGGCAGTCACGGTTGGGATGGTTTTTATCCGGTGGAATTGCACGCCGTAAATCCTGCTCATACTGCGAACATTTATGAGCTGGTTTATGTAGAATAGAGGTCATAACGTGTTTAACCTTGGATCACGCCTGATCACGACGATCTGCATGAATCTGATCACTGTTTGATCATCTGCTGATCATTCGCCGACCGGATATATTGAATCTGATGAATCTGTAATGGTTGATGTTATGCTGATAGCTCCGTTAATCTAGTAACTTTAAAGCACGATCAGACGTAAACTACCTTGTCTCTGTCTGATTGTTTTGATCTGCAAAGAACTGGAGCGGGTTTTGAATCGTTTAAACACCGACTGCGAACGATGTCCGACTCCGACAAAAAACTAACCCGTATGGTGGTGAAGACCTGTCAACTCGCGAAGACTCCGCGCGAGTCAGAGGCTCGCAAATAGCAACAAACGATTCGTAGAAACGTGTTGAGAAAAACCTATCCGTAATGGTGATGAAGACTAGCGTCAATACAAGACTCTGGAGTCAAGACTGGCTCGGAAAATCGCTAACAGAGATTCCGTCGACAAACGTGTTGAAGAGAGAGCGAATCCGTAAAGGCCTTGGAGGCAAAATGCAGAGATGCGCGATGAGATCAGCTTCAGCGAGGAGAAACCTACATGGAAGTGCGGACGAAGGCTCAAACATCTGGCGATTGAACACTCGGTCCAAATGAAGCAAGCTGAGTTCACCTAGCGCAACATTGCTAGGACAACTTGTGTACGCGCAACGCGAAGGTGTTCTTCAAGACGTTCAAAACATAGAGCGCATTATCGCGGACTTAGCCTCACAGAATCACAGCCAGGTTCACGTGCGGCGTGAGGCGAGTTGTCAATGGTCGCTCATGCGCCCGATGAGAACACCGTTAATGATAAGCACACACAGCTCGTCGCTGTGCGATACCCGATCCTAAAGGCGAAAGCCAGCCTATCGCAGGAAACCTCCGTCGACCGACATGCTAAGTACCACATGCAGAATAGCGTTATGGGACTTAGAATGCCAAAGACCAGAGATGATGAATTCGAGGAGACCTCGATCAACTATTTCGTTCGCGCGGGCATGATGAGCACGTACGGGGGACGCAATAACGACGATTGGGTGGCATCAAGGTATATCTGTTGTCACAGGTATACAGCCTGGGGGGGGGGGGGGACACACGACTAGTGAGATCGTTTCCTCGATGGACCCGGAGCGACCCCGGGTCTATCAGAGGCGAAAGCGTGACGAAGCGTTTACGGCGGCTTACAAAATTGTCAATGGCTAACGTGAGCAAGGTTAAACGGGCCACCGATTAAACCGAAGTAGCGCTCGATGGAAGAAAAAAATTATTATCCTAGGACGCAGCTTGTTGCAACGAAATAGGGAGATAGGGTGGTCTCAACCATATAGGAGAACCCGGAGGCGTTTACGTAGCTAATTAGTCGTACCCTTTGGCCATGGTAAGACGCTGGCGCAAGGAGCAGAGATTCTTGAATGATTGGGCGGCGAAACGGTAACGTAATGAAACCGCGGTATCCAGGGTTCATGGAGTGAAGCGGAGTGCTTAAATGACCGCGTATTAGCGATCTCTCGTAAGATGTCCTCCGGAGCAGTTCGAAACAAATGTGAGCCAGCACGGGAGAAAAGAAGATTTTATTCTAACCAACTTCGCTCTACAGGTCCCGAATGGCAGGGTGAAGAAGGAAAGTTGTTGTTCTGCAAGGGGGTGATCATGGATACGTGACGCAGTGCAAATGCTTTACGGAAAGTCTGTTAGACGAACGGCCGTAACTTGATTACCAGGAGAAGAAGCACTTTGGCCTTTAAATGAATTAACCGACTAAGAGCAAAGATGGGGTAGGGTAGCAAGGATTCTTCGTGTTGACTTGCAATGGGAAACCATAGGCTATTGCATATAGTTAACAAACGTCCAGGAAAGGCCTTGATGGATGGCCCGTGATTCGAGGATAGGGAAGCAAATGTGCAGTGTAAATCAATCAACCAAGGATAAGGGTTGCGAACCTGGGCATTTCGAAGTGGTAGCCGCTTGTTCATGGCCAACCACGAGCTTACTCGGATCGTCTAAAACATGCCCGGAGGGGAATTCTGACGAAATATCAACCGTCGACGACGATGAGAAACCAGCGAAAGGGAATGTCAGGTGCGTTTCTGCGATGAGAGTGTTCAGTAGGCTGATGACCAACATTTCCTTGGACTGACGACACGCCTGCGTTGAAGGGGAACGCCCGTGGTTCGGGAGTGATATTCAGTGCACGGGATCGTAAGACAGATGGCAGCGACCTGCAAGGCGTACAGGTTACTTAGTAACTCGTGGGTTGCAGCGTCGACGGATTGCTGATCGGATGACATCGTAGCGCTTGAGAAGCACAGGAGAGAAGGAAGTGCTAACATGGTCGTTTCGCCCGTAGTAACGAAATTTGTTGGACGTTTTAACGGTCCCACTGAATAAGCACGTGATCGTAACTGTATGTGTTTAATGGCGCTGAAGCCGATAACCAGCTGAATGACAGTTCCAAATGGGATACTGAACCAGCGATTCCAACGATATAACTTGAGGCGGTCGAAATGGTAGCTAACGATAATCTGCTACTTTCACTGGAAAAAAAAAAATTTAGGGAAAGGGAAAAAAAACTCTACAAAAATGGATACGTATTCTTATGAAGATCGGTTGGCCATGGAGACCTTGATGGCACCCGCAGCCTGCCGACAACCGGGTTCTCGCGAGCAAATAGACCAAGTTTCTCGGGAGAAGCTTGTCAGCCAGGCTTAACATACGAAATACAAATGCTACTTCGATAACTTAGTAGAGCGATCGTCTCGCTTGGCCCCGTAACTTCTGAGTCAAGATGAACTGGGAAGCCAGGTTGACTGCTGGTATTACGATACCCAGTGGTTTCATGACCAGGCAGAACTTGACAAATTGAGAAGTAGTCTTCGACGCTCGTCGAAATAAGGAAAAACGGGTGTATCTTTAAAACGAGCTTTGTCCAGGGGCCCAGACTTCACAAACGTCGCTAACTGGGCGTACTGTACGCCAGCCTTCGCGGGAATGCCCCACGCCTTCCAGGCTGAATCATTTGAAAGCATGTTCCAGACAGGTCCACGTGGATGGAACGACCGCAGATGCATTAGCGAATTCTCTGGTGGCCTGGATGGCGATATAGTCTACAGAGCCGATTGCTACGGGCATGATGTAAATATTCCGGCGCTATATCCTCCAGTGTTGTAACTACGGTATTTGCGCCGTAACCGCGATCAGATAAGTGAGGGAAATATTTCGTCAAGAAGCCATGAACACGTGAGAGAAGAATTTAACGTCGAGGACTGACTAAGTCCGTGGCTTACCGACGTCGAGTGCAATTCACTGAGTAGACGGATGTAACGATGATCTTGGTCGAAAGGGCGATTTTCGTTTGACAATGTTGTGCGTCAAACTGCACGGTGATGTTCTTGCTCAATACCCCGCGATGAACCGAGCAGTCAGCGATTAGAGGAGCTTGTCGCAAAGGAATTGCCAGTGGAACGTGACTTGGTGCTGGTGGGACCGAAGTGGGAGAGAGAGTTTCAGATACCAAGACTAATGTAAAGCAAGAAGCCGTTAAGGCCGTTGGCATACTGTTCCGTCGTAAGCTGTCGATTTACGATCATGGGGCGTCGCTCCAGTACTGTTACAGCGGAAGTTCGTCAGCCAGGCCCTATGCAGACATCGCCTGGGTTTGGAGACTGAGATTATTTCGGACGCGTATGATCGGTCGCTGG